ACCTGTAACTGTTGTTCATTGAGTAGGCTTCTGTGCAGGCACACATCCCTCCCCCCTCTCTTCATTTTGAGCTGTTCTGCTGACTTCTATGGCACCTCACGGCAGCGAAGGGAGAGAGGAGCGATCTCTGTGCCTCTGTCATGTGACCCTTTGAGCAGGGAAAGCAGGACTCAAGGGGGGGGTGCTCCTAAGGTCTGGAAAGTTCTGGAATCTTGAAAACTCATCTCCCACAGCAGGCCTGCAATTGCACAGTATCCATGTGTGCCTGCATAGAAGACCACTCGATGAAGAGCAGTTACAGGTAAGCACAACCCTGTTTTTCCCTAATTCCCAACTGATACAGTGTGCTTACACTGCTGAATCTTGGCCAGCCTGACCATATAAATTCTCAAGATGTGTGAATATATCAAAAAACCAGATGTGAGAGCAAAGGGTAATAAATACATAAATATGCCAGCTTCATTACAGATAGCAAAAAGTATTCTCCCAGGAAATATCTTGAAATACAAAAACAATCAGATAATGTTGCAGAAAATATCATCCTAGCTATCATAATAGCAAAACAGAGAGGGAAATTTCTGATGATGGGTATGTAAATGAAGCATACAAATATGACCAGGATTCCATCAATTCTTTTCAAAGAAAATCAAAGCGTTTGTAGAAGCTTTCTCTTGTGTAGTTTCCCATTTTTTTTCTCTTAAAAGACTGCTGAGATAAGAAACACTTGCTTCTCTACTTGAAGGGAAATGTTTGACGTGGAGCTAAGCTTGCATGCCCTCTTAGCTATAAATAGATATTTTTTCCTCCATTGATCCTAATGAAATTCTTCACTGATGATGGAAGCAGTTGATATTTTTATGAGAGGAAACAAAAGTGTATGTGATTGATAGGACTGCTAATGAAATAAGTGGAAGAAATACTCCAGTTTAAAAACTGTTGAAAGATACGTTCATGAAACTTTCTGTTCCCTAAAAACCACATACAGCTGACAGAGGCTGGCTGTGGCTTTTGTTCTTTGACTTTTATGAAATGTATTGTCAGCCAACTGAAGGGTTTTTAAAAAATTTAAACCTTTAATTTCTTTTGCCTGGAGCTGTCCACAGAGAGCCTGTGAATGAATTCCCACCCTCCCATCTCACTGGTTATCAAAAAATAACTATGTCTGTCTAAGAATGTCTAAGAGCCAGTTTGGTGTAGTGGTTAAGTGTGTGGACTCTAATCTGGGAGAACCGGGTTTGATTCCCCACTCCTCCACTTGCAGCTGCTGGATGACCTTGGGCAAGCCATAGTTCTGTCAGAGCTGTTCTCTCAAGGACAATTCTGGAAAGAGCTCTCTCTGCCCCACCTACCTCACAGGCTGTCTGTTGTGGGGAAGGGAAGAGAAAGGAGTTTGTAAGCCGCTCTGGGACTCCAAGTGACTCCAATCTCCTCCTCTTCTTCTAATATTAAATCTTCCACTTGATTTATTGAAATAAAAAGGAAAATCTTCATTAATCAGCAGGTGGTGATTTTGTGTATGTGTGTGTGTAGAGCTGGTCCATCGTGGCTAAGAGGAAGCTATGATCTGGGAGGTCACATGTTTATTTATTTCATTTATACCCCACCTTTCTCTCTACTGAAAACCCAAAGTGGCTTATGTCATTTCCTGCTCCTCTGTTTTAACTTGACAACAAGGTTATGCTGTGTGCCTGGCCCAAGGGCATCCAGCAAGCATTCATGGGGATCCATATTGGGTATCCCAGATCCTAGTCTGACACTCTAACCACTATACCACACTGGATCTCAAATTTCTTGGCTACGAACTCTTTCTTACATCGCTCCCTTGTCTGCAGCATAGGCTGATAATATTGGTCTCCCTCATAGGGCAGTTAAATGGATTACTGCCATAGTGTATTAAAATATTTGGATGCTGAAAGCACTACATAAATGCTTATTTTATTAATATAGGATGAATAGTTTGTGAGATTTATAGGTTGCCTCTCTGGAGAGCTGCTCAAGGCAGCTAAGAAAATAAAAACAAATTAACAATAAGATCCTAAAGTCCATCAGAAATAAATCAGTAATTAAATCACCAGAAAGGGGATGAAAACTGTATAAACAGCAGCAAACCGATTCCAGAAGAATCATAACACTGTAATAATAAAATAGCATTCAGGCATTATGCAGGCCATAAAAACAAGCAGCTAAAATGACTGCTATCAGAAAAGTTTTGTTACTCATGGTACCTATCCAGCCAAACTTTTTAAAAGAAGAGACCTTGGAGCCCAAAGTAGTCCTTTTAACAGGTCATGTTTGGTAAACTTTGCAAAAAAGATTTTGTAATTGTAATGTATTTTGTATGTGTGGGGCTGTATATTGTTATAAGGGGACTGGGAAGGAACAGCAAGGTGTAAGTATAATCCACAACAGCTGTGATTTTACAGGGATTTAAAAATAGCAGATTACAAGTCAGGAACCCATCAAATTCATGGGGTGGGAATCACGTCCAATCCCCTCACTCACCAGGCCAGCCAGCTTACCACTTAGTGCTGCAGCTATAGACAGAGTCACCCGGCCCTATCGAGGACGGGGGTTGGCTGAAGGAGGTCTTTGGAATGTTTGTATAAACATTTCCCTACTTTGGACCTGACCCTAGTGTGCAGATTTAGTAATCCATACACAAGGGTCCCAAGTCAGAATTAGATACAAGATACTTTTCAGTAGTATTCTGTTTAAGTTGATGAATTTAAAAAAGAAAATAACAAACAGCAACCACAGCTGTCCTGATCTATAGATCATGTCTCCGACCTTAATGTTGGTGAAGTTCATTCAGGTAAGAATTTTCTCAAGTAGGGATGGTGGTCACTCTCCATACTTGCAGTTAAGTAATGTTTTTTAAAAATGTGCTTTGAAGTTATGATACTGATAGCATTTCCATAATGTTTAGTTCAACCTATCTTGTGTGCTGCCATCATTATGGTACATGTTCTCTCCTTCTAGCAGCTGTCAAATGGAATGAGGAAGTGAATTTCACATCATAATGACATTAGGACATAGGTGAATCGAACTAGTTTATGAAGGAGGGATGCAGGAAGCTTGGGGCTGCCATTTTTGGTAGTATTGTATGTTTTTTGTGATATTTTTGTTCTCTCAAAATTTGAAATGAGACCACTTCTAAGCTGGCTGATCTTTTCATGACCCACTGGTAAAGTAACTCCATGCTATTCTGTCCATCTTCAGGAATCTCGTACCAATTGGCATCAAATTAGTTCACGTTTTATTTTTAATGTTTAGTGTTTAAAAATGTGTAGCACTCTGTAGTAACAGGCTATATTTCATGACTGTTTTGCTCGGTAAGCAGAGACAAATCCAAATTTGCTGTTGAGCCTTCGAGCCCAGAATTTAAGAGCCACTGTCTCAATGCAAAATGATTATGCTGCAATTTCAAGCCTACAATGAGGCTTTTAAACAGTGATTGCACAGACTTCTAATGTTTATAAGTAGTTTTTCATCCACTAAAAATGTTTGGCTAGCACAGTGCTTGGGCCACAACAGGGAAGTTTGAGACACTATTTAAGTTTTAGTGCATTCCATAAATAGGCTCAGCATGTGCCTTTTAATCACCAAAGGCTCATCGAAAAATACGGTTGTGGATAGACTAGATATTTTAGTTCTGTTTTCCCCCAATATTTTCTGAGTATTAGAAAAATGATCTCTCAATAGTCATTCATTATATACATAAAGGTACTTTTTGTCCATCAGAAAGAAATGACAATACTTGGACTGTTCATAGCTCAATACTTTTTTTATATGACAAAAGCTTTTCTGTCATTGCTGCTATTGTACAGCTGATTTGACCTTCTTTTTGCACCCTTTTGGCTTTGATGTCTGTCAGAAGAACTTGCTGAAAGAAGCACTTGAATAAAAGCACATTATGCACAATTTTGGCATTACTGCTGTGACAGTATTATTTAAACAGCAACCAAAAGACATTTACTGTTGTTGATATAGCGTATCCAAGCCTAGTTCATATGGACTTACTTGACAAACTGTTATGTGAGGCAAAACTTGCGTACCAGCAAATAAATGTACTTTCACATATTTACACGTTATTGAACCAGACTGTAGGCCTGTATTTGCCTGTATTTGAATATAGTCTCCCCAGTGCAGCACAGAAATTCTGCAGTGATCTCTACCTTCAGTGGATCCAGGCTATATAGAGAGTCAATTGCAAGCTATATGCTTGGGACTATCAGTGCCATTACAGGCAATATGGAACGCTTGGTTTTGTTCAGCTTCTTGACACATTGTAGAAAACCAATGTGACACACCTGATGAGGTTTCATTAGGTTGCCTTATTGGTCAAATGTCACAGAATCACCTTGGATGTGAAAAAGAAAATCATAACCCTGTTGATTTAAGCATTGTGAATGGAAGGAAATGAGTTTGAATTGAACTTATATTCGTGGACAGGTGTCCAGAATTGTTTAACTCTGTTTCAGCTACTATTTTACTGTGAATTGCCTGCTTTCATTCAAGTATGTTACTCTTGATAATATCTGAAGTACATGTTAATTTAACTGAGGTTGTTGTGATACTGAATTGCAAGAATGGTTGTTTGGGAACAGCCGCTGATATACCGTATGTTTGTTCCTTAATACTGATGTTTATCTACTGCCTGGATTTTGAGTATACTCTGTCAATACCAGTCAATGTGGAATAAAGCAAAACGAGTTATCAAAAAGGAAACCTTACTTGAAAATAAATTTCTTGTGTTAAGTGTGTATTTGTTTCAGGGCAGTGAGAGTAGAGCATCATAGGCAGAGAACAGTTATTAAAAACATGCTAAAAATGATTATTTATGAAGAGGTTCATTTAAATGAAATATATATTACTTTTACATTGGAAAGAGTTCTTCAGAAAGGGTAACAAAAGCTGAAACCAAACTAACCTATCATTTTAAAAGAAAGCATTCTAATATTAATATGTGGGTTATAGTAATATTTTTGTTTTTCTTAAAGGAAATACCTACAGTTCTGCTTATTCACCTGATGGATAGGCATGAAGGTACATGGACCATTCTGCCACTAATGCATGAGTAAGTGTGCAACTCTGGTATTGTTATGG